TCGAGGCACACTCAAAAGTGCGACAAGGAAAAAATCTAGCTTTGAAGTACCCCACTGTAATGCTAGTGTGTCTAAAGAAGACTTTAAGAGCACTGTTTAAATGAAAGAGCAGTGAGACGCAAAAATTTTTTGCAATAATTTTTATCACACACTCTTACTGCCAAGTTTCCAGGTTTTAGTTAGGCAGTGTCGTCAGGCGTGGTTAATTGAACAAGACACTTATTAAAGGTTGTTAATTTTTAAATGTTTAAACGCTTAGCGGAACGTAATGAGATATACATATTTAAGAGGTTAAAAATGCAGACCGTATTTTAGTTAATTGTTAAGGTTACGCTTCATTTGAATTAACTGTAGTTTGCCTAAACGCCGAATAATGGTGTGCTTTTGCTAAATGGGGGATACTGAAGGGGATCAATCCAAAAGACATGGGACGAGGTATAATGTTTATGACATAAAACCGTTTCTTTAAGGGTTTTCAAGAAAAGCAGTCCTAATGGGAAGGTAAGAAGCCCTGATCATTCGCCTTAATCTACTAGCTCACTGCATATTTATCGAAAAGAGATTTTTTGGATCACCTGACTCACGTGGACCCAATTGGTATGCCTGTTTTCACTTTATATTTCTTAAATAGAGGGCGTCGTTCTTGTTGATGAGTCGTACGTAAAGAACCGCCGAGTGTTTGTCCATGTACTGGCTGCATTTCGATATGGAAGGGAAGATTTGGACGTGCTGGGATTGTCCTTTCGAAAGGACCTTTTCTTAGCTTCAGTTCAACTTTATCCTCCCCAACAGCCCTTTGTTGGTGAACTTCCGACTAACCCCATTCCCATTGTTGCCGTTGCCTCGTGTAATGCTGGGAATAAGAAGAAATGTGCCACCCCTAATGAAGATGAAGATCAAATGGCTACAGAAAGCTTACCCAAAGAAACGAAGCCTCTTACCCGCCTCCAGGAGCGCCTCATAAAGAAGCTAGGGCCAAGTGCTTACCCATTTTTCTTTGAGGTACGTGATATTATTTAACCACCATGCTTTCTTTTGTTGCCTTTTTGCTTCTGTGATGACTACCGCAATTCCGCGTCGTGTCTCATCACAATTTTTTCCAAAAATATATTGAGCAATAACGCTCTCATTTTTTAAAGCTTTTGCACTCTATGTAATTTTGCTGCCGACGACTTAAGTGGATATTGGGACCCGTCTTATGAGGAACAGTTCTACTTAAATGCTCTTTGTGCACCCATGTGTTATCGATGATAGTCACTTTTGCCATTTTGCCCAAACTTGCACTAATTGCTTTTCCTCCAGTTTGCATACATGTGCTCTCATTTTGCTAGTTGCACGCAGTTTTCCTCGCGAAGTATGCTTTCACAACTTTTTAAAATATCCTACAAACTAATCTTTCGTCTCCGTTTTTGCGTTTATTTCGATCATCTTTCTGTGTGAATTGTCCCACTAATTAAGCTGACAGCAAACTACCCCATATGGTAATATTTTTCCTTATTATATTCTTTCGTCTCGAACTACCTGGGGTCCTCATGGACATTTTATTTCCTGTGTATAATGTGGTATGGTGAACTGGTAAGTGAATAATAATGTGAGTGTATGGACAAAGGCAACATTATTTATTTACCTAATGCACATGGAACTGCGCGTAAACTGAAAGCGTCGGCTGCTTATGCCTGTTTCTTGTCGTTATGGCTATATCTTAAAGTGGTTGACTTAATGTGAGTGAATATAGCGGCGAGGAAGGTGAATTATCTTTCTTCGTCCCTGCGCCTTTTGGGTATTCAATGCTCACCACTTCGTTAACGCAAGAAACTAAAACTTAAATGTTTGGTCACGTTGACGTCGGTATACCGTTGGATCTTACTATGTTAGGCAAGGCCATAGATGTCTGAAATATAAATTCAAAATAAAGCAGTTCTGTGAGCACTTGGAATACAACGTTGTTGCCTAAGTGAAATTATCCCCCAGAAAAATTTAGAAAGCTGTGCCTGTATGTTTACGAAGAGAAGAGACCTCAATGAGGCTGAGGGATTAAAAGACAATGAGATTGGGGCTCTCAAAGTGGCATTTAACTTTGTATGTATATATGTATGGGAGGCATTCTGGCGAGGAATGAGCTTTGCAATTTTCATTACAGTAATGTGCAATTTCGCGAAATTTCGCTGCTTTCACTTTCTTACTTTTGTTTTTCGATAAATTCTTTTATCAAATACTAATTTTTTATTCAATTTTCCCTGTTTCGGTGTTTTTGGTAAATATGCCTTCATGTTTTCCATTTATTTGCTAAAGTTTCCTTTTATCTAAATTATTTTGCTTTCTTCGAACTTAATTTGCCTAACCATCAAACATTCACATTCCATTGAAGGCGTCTGTACCAGCGTACGCACTTGTGTGAATTCTGCGCCGGGAATGTGTTTGGTAAATCAACGTGACCCACGTAGCCTATGTATCGTTGTTTCTGTGCCTAATTTGGCTGCCATTTCAGTGATTAATTTGCCTGTAGTCTATATTTGAACATTTTACAATGGCTTTGTCTGCAGACGGTGTTCTAGCCATTGTACTAATTTGAATGACTAGTCCATTGGCACTTCCGTGTCGATTGCCAGAGAAAGTCTGCAGGGTTTTCCTTGTGGTTTATTTAAACATGGAATTTTGGGAGAGGCGCACTTTTCTCTTATTTCACCTCCAGGGTGAGCTCGAATTCTATCTCAAGCTATTAGAGCCGTTGCTAGTTTGCAAAGTACGTTTTCTCATATTTATGAATGCATTTTATTATTTATTGCTGTGTAACTTTTGCCACCTATCTCTTTCTTTTTCTGATTCGCGATTGATTTTTTTGAAAACTAGGAGATTGTGGTATTCTTTGAAACAAAATTTCCACTTGAAAAGCTTAGGAGTCAATAAGCATTGCAACAACCAGGTAGATTCCCCTCTTCTGACTGCTTTTTCAAGCCCACTAATTGTGGCTAGTACTTAGTTCAATCAATGTTTCGATTTTGCCGCAGTACCACTCAATTCCATTTCGGCCACGTACATGTCATGACAGCATTAGAATAGGCCTTTGCGATTGGCTGTTTTGCTCACAATTGTGTAGAATCCACTTGTAATTAACCAGGATAATTTGACTGCGGAAGGATCCGTTTTTCACGCAAAGGTCCCATAGGTTCAGTGCACCAAAAACACATTTCTTGTGTTGTGAGTCGTCTAAGTACTGAGCTTCCTAATTATTCTAAACTTGCGATTCCCTAAAAAACGGCAGTGGCTAGTTTTTTGTAGCTTGTCAATCACGTGTCGTAATCTGGCAGTTACTTTTTGCAATTGCCGATATTATCCGCGGTTACAAAGACGTCATATTGTTTCTTGTCAAACATCCGAGAAGATTTTCTGCGCGTTTATTCAACACCCAGACGTCAGAGGGGCTGTAAAGTAACTTTACTTGTGCACTTCTTTCGGGCCAGATTCAAGGAGAAGGCGGTGAGTACCCATTTGGCGGCTCTCTAGACGTTAGGTCATGGAAATTCTTCACTACTGTTCTCTCCCGCAACTGATCATCATTTCAAAATTGTAAAAATTACCTGACCGGAAAACAGCGTCATGAACATTGAAGTGGTTGTGTCCATCAGTAACCTAGTAATGGCCGCTTTGGTGGCACAAGGCCCCGGATTAGATACTTTAACTTTTCACTTTTGCAAAATGGGTAATGTCAGCTTTCTTGTGTGAATTCGCACTTTTTTGTACAAGGAATGAATTTTATTTACTTATGTAGTTTCCATCTTTTCCAAAGCATTTCTGTGCTTACAGAATTTCCGGTCCTCACCACCAAAAACAGCTAGGTGTGTTTTCAGATCATTACTGAAAATTTTACGAGCTTGGAAGTAAACCCTTGTGCCTGTTCATCACACTTGGATATGATAGTTTCTTAGTGATTTTATTGTAGACCCTTTGTCTACTTATAATGACACGATTTAAAAACCAACGATTTCATATCCTTGTCATCGTGTCTTGTGGTACATTTAACGGAGTTAACAATTTATCGCTTACTTAGGCGACAATCTGGTTTGAATTTGGCTTTGATTTAGTCATCACCGACTTCAATGGATTGTCCAGAACGCTGGTCAACTTTGGGTAAAATACTTCCGGAATTAAATTCTCTGGTACGCGCATTTTTTGTGCATTCACCACAATGAGCTTTACAAATTTTTCTGGGTGTCCCATCAGCTTTTACAGTTTGTGGCTAGCGAAGTGCGCTATGTATAATCGCGACTCTTTTTGTAGCGCATTCTCAACGATTACCAGCCCTGTTATCACGGCTGAAGTAAATGTTAACCGTGCTGTGATGTTATTTTGAGTGGAAAAAGATAATGCTCAAGCATTTAAAATTTATGCCATCAATTTGGTTTTTATGGCGAGTTGCACCACTTAACGGATGAATTTTGTCCTTGTAGCTCCCGTTCGCTACTCCAGCCTCAGTCACCCTACAACCCGGGCCAAGTGACAGCGGCAAGGTGTGTTTATTCATATTCGCTTCACATGTTTCTCATCTTTTTAACCATAAATCACCTTTCTGAATGCCTGAAAACTGTGGCTAGTGTTTAGTAGATCAGTGCGCGATCAGGCTAAAGGTTAAACTGGCACTAACAACGTGCCGAGGACCACAAGAATGCTTAGATTTTGCCGACACTAGGTTCTTAGGGGATAAAGAGGGCTGAGGTTTCCATAAACTCACCGTTTTTCGGCATCAGGACCCGTTTTGTTGTTGTGTGGCCGTTTCACTGAACGCAGTGAACCAAAGCCTACACATGCGACGCTAAACTGCAATCAGGTTATCGGTTAGCTCGTGATTCGAAGGGAACATTCGTGAACTTTCTGTCGTGTTGTAGCGTTGATCGCTAAGAGGGCCACGGTTTTAAAGGACATTATTCCTGTGGTTTGATTTGATTTCGGCTTGTTTTTGATGCAGCAAATTCTGCCATCTGTGTACTCTTCCGTTGGTACTTTGCATGCTCTTAATTCCCCCAAAACAGCTGCTGAATCTCCTAACGCCTGCCTCGCTGCTTATTGTTCAGTCTATTAGACGTGCGGTTATGCCAATAAAACCGAAATATTGTGCGCATAAGGGAGGACCTGGTAAATCAAAATTTAGGATGGAAATGAAGGTAGTGCAGGAGTAACTAGTAAAGACGGGTGGTGAGCACGCCTTGCAGTCTAATTCCTTCAGTTTTTGCAAGGTTAGGTACTCTACATTAGGCCCTATTTTCTCGCTAAATCGAATGCATCCGTGTTTACTCTTTGTTGTAGTGTCAGTTTTGACGAGTTCTCTGTTTCCTCATTCTTTGATGCAATATGACCCGCTAATACTGAACTGCGTCCATCGAAATCTCCTCACAAAGCAGATACCACCACAAAACGCATCCTATCGGTTCACCTTAGGTGCCTTAATTTCATTTTTTGTTACAGTTAAAGTCTAGTAGCTTTCTCTTTCACGAATGTGGGATGTTTTACTACTTTCACTGACCTTCCTATTTGTTGAGCTTCGTAAGCTTTCTACTTTACTCGAGATGAAGCTTATAAATTTATGTACTGGTCCTTATTCTTCACGCTTTCTTCGTAACCTGATTTCTCAAATGTCTATAAAGTCGCCCCATTATTGGTGCTATCGCTAAATGCCATATTGACGTTGCAAACGTATCTGGCCCCGCTCTTGCTCACTCCATTTCCTTGATTGAGAGACTGCATAAAATAGACAACAAGATTATTGCAAATGATGATTTCCGACAACTACTTGGCCTTTGAATAAGCTTGCATAATCTAAGTCCAATTGTCACTGTAAGGATTGATTTGTGACATGCGAAAATCCGAATTTCACTCGATGAGCACTTCAACCACTAGCATAATTTTTTGACTAATAGATGTGGTACGACTTTGTTACTTGGCGGCCTTAGACACCTGCCTTGTGTGTGGCAGACTGGAAATCTCGATACATCAGGCACATCAAGACTGGACTAACCTTTCACGCTGGATCGACACTTTCGGCGCCCAGTCAGAGGCGCACTCATCTTTACCTCTGGTCATCAAACACCGGTTCTGAGCCTATAGTCGTATTAGAGCTCGACTTTCTGTGATTGAAGTCTGTAGATTACATTTGCAGACCAAATGGTAGTAGTCAATTTGGACAATTTGTTCCACAGTCATTTCCATGCTCAGCTTTTAATGCTAATTTTAATTGTCTGCATGTTCCCCGACGTTGCCTCCATGTTGAATATAATTGTGCCAATCCTCACGGCTTTCGTGTTACCGTGTTTTGGGCCACTCTTAGGCGGGGGTCTTTGTGCCTTCTGTAGGACAATATTTATTTGTGTATTTATTTAGAAGCATTTTGAAATTGGTTGTAGAAGAAGCGTAATTTTCTCTTTTTACCTGTTAATTTTTCAATATGAGTAGCTCCTTACACACATGATGGGAGGTAGCAAGGCTGTATTTGAGCTGCCTCGACAATTATCCTAATTTTTTAAATCTTCGCATGTCTCACGCATTTTCGGAATCCTGCTCTAACTTGCTTGCCGTTAGTTCCCCGGAATGTATGCTGCGTTGGTAACTCACTGTTCCAAACTTTTTCTAATTTCCCTTCTCATTGGTCAGATTTCGTTTCCTGAAGTCAAGTTCTAATACGACTTTGAGCGCAGAATTTCATAAATACGAACATCAGGTTTTACAACAAGTCCACTCCGGTGTTCAAGTCTTGCGTCGAAATCTACTTGCCTCCCAAAATTGAGTTTGCTAGCCGGTCGTACTAACGCGGCGCTCTAAAGCAATTATGATCTTGACGACTCCTTTGTCCACACGGTTGTATTATTTCACCGACCTACATTTTTTGACAAATTGATGCCAAAGTAATGTCTGTTTTTTTCATTGAAGTAAAAATCCTGCAAGTGACATTGCACTTGCACCAGCCTAGTATTTTCCAGTGACTCTAGCATGCACCTTTTTGTATTTTTCCCGGAATAATTGGTTCTTCCAGACTTCTATCATCTAATTCATTTTGATGATATTGTTACTTTTGTGTAGTAGTTACTTTTAAGCCCCAATCCTAAACTTTAATCTAAATTTCCACGCCATTTGTTCTATCACCGTCGTTTTTTTATTAACTTTGTGTGTTGGAAACTCACCTGTATGGACTTGCTTTTCAGCCGTGCGGCGTAGACTACGAGCTCCGGGCATACATCGCAGAAGAATGTGATGAAAAGCCTCAATCACGGTATGTATTTGGACGTCGACGTATTTACTTTGCTTGTTTGAATTCCGCTGGACAGTTGCTATCACCCACTTGGTTTGTTCGCCCGTTGCCCTACATCATACCTAAAGGTGCGCAAAAAAATGCAGCCATGAAAGTTGTTTCCCCCAAATAGTTACTCTTTCGTGTTTACCAAGCTTGCTTAGTTCGGCCTATTTGTAGACAAGACGGGCCTAACTTGGCTTTTCAAGTGCAATAACTATCAGGCCTAAGGTACATCGAATGCATCTGCAGTCTCTAGACGTTAGGTTTTGAGTGACTGCGCCATTGTTACCTTGTGGTGGTTGCTTTGGATTAGTATAATATAATTAGCCACCGCCGAGTGGAGTGACTCGTCTGCTTTGATGTAAGCTGAACTTAACTACTGTGTACACGTCTCACCAGTGTGTGTGTGTGCGTGTGTGCGCGACTTTTTCCACAATGCGCGCACTCAGTCGAGCTAATAGTGCCTCGTTCGTGTTGCTGCAAAGGAAGCGGTATTGCTATGCCCGTCCCGGCCCGGGCGTCCTTGATAACCACTCCGTGCATCCGCTTGATGACATTTGCAACTGTTTCAGTACAAAAATGCATCAACTTTATTTCTTCTCGTAATGGCCTACTACTAATGAATGCTTGTATTCACTCACGAATGTTCGGAACAGACTTGGCAACGTGCATACGTTGAGCGGTTACTAGGCGTCGGTATTACCCGATGTTTGCCTACATTTGAAGGAATTCGACGCAAGCAGTAGAAATAAGTTTCACAGCATTATGTTTGTGGGAGAGTGATTGAGTAAATGTTAGCCTTATTAAGATTATTAAGTTTAACGTATCGTGAAATTGATTTTGCGAAGCCTTACGTGATTACTTCAAGGATCAAAACCCGTTTTAATTGTTATTAAGTGTCTTTTATTCGGTTAGACCGAATGCGACTGTAAATTAAAGCCATCCATTTATAGCTGCTGCTGCTGATCTCTCTGCCACCAAACTGCAGTGACGCTTCGTAGTTATGTTTGTAAGTGCCATCAAATAAAGCTAAGAGGGGTGATCACTTGGAAAGGTAGTAATTTATCTCCGCCTCTCCGTGTTTCTTGGAACTCCCACTTTCCAGAACGCTGTGTCGCAGGTCTGATCTGTTCTATGTGTTGTTCGGTCTAGAGAATGGGTTACCTTGAAAAAAACCTTAGGATTCGACAGCCAGCTCCTTTGTTTGCGAATTTCCTTCGTTCTTGGCTGCTGTCCTCTGTTAGTTGGTGTCAGTTTGGTGTGAGCTGGCCTTCGCCCAGCATTGCTTGTACCGCGGTTAGTTGTTTAACGATTCAAAGCCTCTACCGGTCTAAACGGGTTGCATGGTACCCCTCCAGCTGTTTTTAAATATGGCACACGTACAGACATTTGAGTCAGCTGTTCTTGGGTGTCTTAGCTAGCCCCAAGACCTTCACATTATGAACTAGTGCCTTTTACTCCCCATTTCAGCGCGAAGGCCGTTGGCTGCGTGCCCATCAGTCGGCGGCCACTGCCCCTCAAAAGAGGCAGTACTCCCAACTTTCAGCCCAACCCACGGTCTTTTCCAGCATTTATTTAAATACGCTTTATCTTAACACCTAACTAACTCAATCATGCTTAATCGTTTGCTTTTGTTTCGCCTTTTAGTTATTTCGCTTTCCGCAGCTACTTTTTAATGTTTGCTGTAGAAAGATATTGTTGCAGTCAAATCCAAACTACTTACCTTGATCCAGTACTTTAAGGTGCCCTATAGTTTGTGACGATAGCCAACAACAGCTCTAGGAATTTTCTAATTTCCGACATTTATTTTGTAAGTCAGTTATATTTGATTTACGCATCCATCATGCTAAGCATGCAATCTATGATTGAATTCAGCTGCGCTTCTGCCCAATGATCCTAAGAGCGATTTATGCAGGCGGTGTCGCATAACTATTTGAACACCTTTCTCGAAGGAAAAGTGGTACCGACTTAAAGAAGTGGGGCAACTGATGTCGTGAAAACCCCCTTCAGTATGTTCTTCGAATATTTGGGATGTCTCATAAAGGTGCATTTAAATTATTTGCCTAACCGTCCCGTTGTTACAATATCGAAGTAGTTGCGGAAACCAAGTAAAAAGGTTGGTGGATCTAGAGGTCGCTTTCTGTGAATTCAGGTCATTGCTCGTTTTTCCGCACAATGTTGATGTCAAAACAAAAAATGATCCTGCGATTGAGTTTTTCGCTATAATCACCGTATACCGTGAATTGCTTATATGATCGTTCATTACGTAGTAAATGTTGTCATTCTTTCGTATTTAATAAATTATGCTACAATCGTCTACCTACCATGTGTCGCTTTCATTTTCTTGAGATTCCCACTGATCCCTTGCAGTTTTCGACGGCTAATTTGTGTCTTCCCGCGTTTTGAAACATATTCCTGTTTTATTTTCCAGTAAAAACTAAGTCGTTTGAGTTTATTATTTTGTTCTTCGTTTGCCTCCTTTATAATCATTCCTGATGATTCGCCAATTTGTCTGATTGCCCAGGATGGATATGCCATCATTTATTAATGAAATTACCTCCGACTTGTCATAACACGTCTATTTGCGCTCATTGATTTCTGATTCGTAAAATTACCCAAGACACCCAGAATACTATTTCGAACCTGGCTCCCTTAACTTCCTTGTCTGATTTGATCGCATTGAGTTCGCACCGGTTTGATCCCACTTTTGATTAGGAGTCATACTTCGACGCCTTTGTTTACATCTCCCAAGGCAAATCGAAGCCTTCATTCCTCTAGGTCATGCTTTCTGGGCTCAACGGTTTCGGCGCCAGTCTTAACAAAAGCACATCAAATCGACAGTGTTAATTTACTCTTAAGTGGTTGTGAAAGCTCCCGGCTACATTCGTAGTAAAATCTCGTCTCCCTTCATCTTGCACTCTCTGGCCTTCAAAACGCTTGTTTTCATTGGTCCACTTTGACGTTCATTCTATCTTATAACGGACAGCTCCGAGTTCCTCCCTGTTATCGTCGGTTAATTTGAAAACCCTGCTTGATACTTTAAGCATTTATCGTGGGAACAATGATTTCGCCACTACTTCATTTATTCTTTTGGTTTAGAAGTTGGTTTTTGCCGGATTTTAGAAAACTTGATTATCATCATGTAGAGAATTTTCCTTAAGCGGGTAATTTAGTTATTCTGTAATGTAATCGAACTCTGACCACGTTACGCATTCTACTGCATTACGCGCCCTTGCTACTAGTTTGTTTAATGGATACAAACGGGTGCATTTTTTGTTTGTTTTTGTTCTTCGACGCTTTTCGTCTTCTTGTTTGTTTGTTACTCCACTTGTCTGCAGCGTGAGGCATTTGTCACACATTTATATTTACCTGCATTTTCGGTCATTGTAATTTCGGCTGGACCTTAATTTGCTGAAACACATGATCAGATGAGATCATACCGAAGGTGTTTTTTCTGTACTAGGTCAAAAGTCCCCAAGGGCCATCGCAAGCTAGTGGGCACATTGATTAAAATCTCTGGTTCTAGAACGTCACTAAACGATCTCTCAAACGGTTTCTGTGTAGACTCACAATATTTTCAAATATCAAATGCAACGCCTGTATAAAGTAGGTACATCGATTACTACAGCGCAATTGAGTAATTGAGTCAAGGAAAAATGCGTAAATACTTTTTAATTTTTTTTTCAAAAGTGAATGGTCAGTTGATGACAAGGTCAGGTTCGTATGGAAATCTAGACCCTGCCAAAACTCACTAATTCTCTGCTAAATTTGGCTAGTGGGAATTAATAAAGCGTTATTTTTGTGTGTAATTTGCGTTCGTGGATTCATCCACAATTTTCCTTTATAGGAATAAATGCTATATAGGTTTCGATGTCATTCGTAAACAATAACACTCGAACGCGTTTTTGCAGTTTTCCTAACACGTTCTTTTACCACGTCATCACTTTGAGCCGATTGTTTTTAAACTCCAGTAGTAGTAGTTGAAATTTTGGGACTCGAAGTTCCCAAAATCACCTCGATGGCACGTGTTAGTCATCTTCACCAGCCACATGTATTGCAAAATTGGTGGCTTAGTTGCGGCCAAGTTTTCAACTGAACTTAATCCGCCCTTTTAGGTAAATCGGGCATTTCGAAATATCACATGCTTTAACTAGTCAAATTCCGCAAAGCCGAATCGAAGTTAAACTTGGGCGAAATTGCCATTCATGAATTTGGGCCCACGCTGTTGTTCCTCTGGCCCTGCATTTTGCAATGCCCCACGCGGTTCGCCATGCTCGATTGGATTCATTTTAAGCGGCTTATTTTCATGGCTAATAAAGCTGACATAGCAAAAAGAGACCACTCGCTCAGTGTAATAATCTTTCTGCAAATTTACCTTTGGCCTTAAGTTGCTTCGGCATTGTACCAAGATCATTTCCAATTTCTATGCTAATTTGTGCTATTGGCATTGATCGGTTGGTGGTCAAGGTCTGAGTGGTCAACCCACCAAGTGGTTAAGCCAAATTCTAACGTCGGTTTTGTCCATCAAGTGGGCCGTATCAGACCCAAATGGTTATGTGTCTCAGCACAAGAAACAAACTCAATCTGTTGTGGACGTAACGCTGCCCTTTTGTTTGCCTTAATCCTTTGGTTCGCTTCTTCTACAAATTGAAACGCTTGAATTTAAAATAAAATCAAGTGCGACCTTTTGTGTCTCCTGCAGGAGCTCAGTGCGAATGGCGATTCGGAAGCTTACCTACGCCCCGGAAGATTTGGTGCCACAGCCGTCGGCAGAGATAGTCAAGGACTTCATAATGAGTCCAGGCACTCTGCGCCTTGAGGTCTCCCTCGATAAAGAGGTGTGTCTTTTGGCTCGCTCAATCGATTTCCAATTCGCATTGTTAGTTTTGCAGCCTACATGTTCTTGACAGAGGCTACCAATCACTCATATCTTTGTTTTCTGTAATCCGTCTTGTTCGAGCACTGGCCAAAGACTATTAAATTTGCCCACCCTTCGGCTTCTCGCGCCCCCAATATTCAGTTATTCACCTACTAGGATGTGTGTACCAAGTCGAACCCTTTCTTTTCAATGGGGGCCGAAACTCGAAATCTAGTGAGTGCAATAGTTAGTGAACCAGTCGAGTAATTTAAGTGAATTGAATAACTTCTGATTGGGTGTGGTGAGTCACCTCTTTTAAAGGTTGTTTACTTGCATCCTCGATTGTGTTGCTTGTGTTGGGGTTACAGTGTCGATTTTCCGAGTGGTTGTTGATAGGCCACGTTGTTCACAAGTCCACATACCTCATGGCAACCCAAACACGTAGCATCAGATTTGATGCTAATGTATCGTCTGTTTGTTTTGCTATAATTTTTTTTAGATTACGTATACTTGTGTTTTGCAGCGGAGGTTTTGATCATAAATATTTTATTTATCATTGTGGGCATAACTTTACCAACGTGATAGTAAATTACCATGAACTAACTTTGGGTGTGCTCTAATCTACGAGCGTCAGATGTTTCTTCTTTATAGATATCACTCAGTAAGCGTTATCAAATATTTTTTGTGGGATTTGAAGTCACTATTTACTAAGGTCAATCACATTACGTTTCCAGAGGTGAACGTTTGTTCATTCCTTAAAGCATCTGGTCAGAACAGTTAAAATTCCTGTTAATTACTCACTTGACAAAACCTGTGACGATGCGTTTACTGAATCCTTGACACTGATCCATTTAATGGTTTCTTAAAACCTAGCATTATGGTGTATTTTGCGACTAAGGTGTGTCGTACATCTGTGTGGTTGCATTGTAGAAGTATTATCACGGCGAGTACATAGCTATCAACGTGCTAGTGGATAACAATTCCAACAAAACCGTCAAGAAGGTTAAGGTGTCCGGTACGTCTTCTGTTAATAACCGTTTTTTTAAAGAATCTTAATCTACTTGTGGGGGTTTTTACTCATTTTAGTAATTCAGGTCGCGGACATAATGCTTTTCAGTCGCGCCGTCTACAAATGCACGGTTGATGAGGCGGAATTTGAGTGAGATTTTTTCCCTAATCACTTGTTGTGCTTTTAAGCTAATTTATTGCATAGGCAATACTATGGACTTTGCGGAATGTTTTTACAGGAATTGTTATTCATTAGGCCCATTGGCGCGAATATTTGCTGCATTGTAATGCATCAAGTGCTGCCCAGAGAATAGTAAGGAAACCACACAGACTTATCCGTCTGCCAGGCCGCTGGACCGATTTGTATGTGTGTGTGTGTGTGCGACTGGTTGAAGATTTATAAGCACCACCCGTGAACCTTGAGTGTTGGTTAAGGTGTCGGCTGTTAATGTTAACAATTGGGAATTAATGTGCACTGGTAAACCGGCCGGGTGCCAAATGTCAAAGTTCGGGGTGCGAGTAAATAAGCCGGCATGGTGTGGTGATCGTTTCGAGGTCGTGGCTTGTCGTGATTGCAAAAGCCTAACGATTAAAACAACTGCGAGATGTCAAATTTCTGTCATCTTTCTTGTACAAACTTAACTAATAGTACTTAGGTAGTGAAGGTACATCGCTTGGTCTGAAATTATGTGAAGCTTCTTCATTGATCGTTTCAGCTGTTGTGTTTGACAATAGTAATGCGCGCAGTAATGTAGGAAAGCGAAATCTCTCACAACAGACTTTACCAACCGGTCTTAGTGACAGTCGCTAGACCCGTCTCTGCACGGTCATCCGTAGAGATCCGCAAAACTAGTACGTTGATTTTGTCGACACAAACTCT